ATATCAAAACCGGAAGTTCAGCTGCAGCACCATAACAAGCCGCTAGGGGGGCAAAAATCTAATCATTTTTAGGTCTTATAAAGACCAACCCACCTACCAAATATCAAGTCAATCTATTTAAGCCTTCTCAAGCTATCGTGTTTACAGACACACACACACACACACACAGACCGACAGACACACACACGAACGCCTACGAAAACATAACCTTCTTGACGTAAAAAGGATAAGGAATTTTGGGTAAGTAGGTAGCTTAAGTGATGTTTGACAATTATGTTTAAAATGCATAACCAATAAGGATGCTCTCAAAATTGGTAGAACTATTCCGACTTGTGACATAAGTAGAACGAAGGGACATTGAAAAATTATCTCTAAAATACTATAATTTCAATAAGGCCACAGCAAGTAATTTTTATGGATGACATCAGCGCGCGCATTAATTTTCGCCTGATTTTGGAAAAAAGCAAGAAATTTTGTTACCTTCTGACAGTGGTCAACATGCCGAAAATGGGCAAAGATGCCGGAAGGTCGATGGCAGATGACTATAAAGAGAGGAGACAAGAAAAGTCTCTGATTTAATGTTTTGTTTCTTACTTTGAAGCAGTGATATGTGATGCTGGTTGTGTAAATGTGATGTTCCTACTGAACCAAAACCATTTGTACAATGACCCTTGTTTTTTTTTCGCGCGCTCGCATTAGATTTGGAATCTGCGGAGGATGTCATCCATAAAATTTACTTGCTGTGGCCTAATGACGGGAATTTCATGCTTGCAGCATATGGAAGTTATAAGTAAAAGTTAGCGTCATTAAACATAACTTCTTAAATTAGGATTTTATTTGCATATTTGGTATATGGTGCAGTAGCCTTGAATGTTGAAATAAGTAATTGGGTGGAGAATATAATTCATGCGAATAGGACCTTATTTGCATAATTAGTCAGAAACATTTACATCATTGGGTGAAAGTATGCGATCGTCACGGGGGTTTAGACTATTGGAACACTTCACCTTTTTGGACAGGGGTGATTTAGGAACATTCCATTTGTACGGGACGGGGCTAGGTTCAGTTTTTGGTACGGGGGATGAGGTGAAGCCATCTGCTGCATTTGCTCCCGAGCAAATGTCTGCCTTTCTAGTTTTTCCTCAAGTTTCTTCCCTTCTCCGTCTTTTCCTGCCTTCTTCACATGCACTAAGCTATAACGTATTGACAGTATGAACTGCATTCAAGTGTTTTATTACCTTCGCCAAGAAGGTAATAAAATGTTTTCAGTAGTTTTCAGTATAAAATGTTTCAGCCAATGTTTTCAGTAGCGTTTGTCTGTGTGTGTGTGTGTGTGTTTGTGTGTGTGTGTGTGTGTGTGTGTGTGTGTGTGTGTGTG